CGCGTGTCCAAGCAGGAATCTCATCTTCACGCGCTTTGTCTTCGCGTGAAGGATAGCACCCCCTCCCTTTAGGCTAATGGGCGGCGATTCGCCCTGCGGACGAATCCTTCAACCCAGCGCCTTCGCCACGCGCCAGTTTCGAATCGGTCGTTGCGACAATTAATAAATTTCATCTCTTGTGGACAATTCATACATCTTGGTCCTACGAAGAGTAACATTCGATCTCGCGCGAGGGTGCACCACGCGTCCCTGGGTTCCCAACTCGCGGAAATATAATTATGCACAACTGACGATGGGCGCTACTATGCCATAGGGGTCGGTAGTGGTGCTCAGTCGGGTGGCGCTGTGTACGCCGCTTCCAGTCGTCGTGGTTGAGTACCAGCTGAGTAGAGCGCGTTGCTGCCGCGTGACGTCAAGCTGTCCCGCGTTGCGCGCGCCTCCTGGGCCAGTAGAGCTGCTGTCCGCAGATAGCGCGAGTGTCGACCCTCGCGTGTCGCAGCCCCTTCCTCCTGGGACTCCAGCTGGCTCCCTCTCTCTCGTTCTCCGCGTCTTCACGGGCACGGCGAGCGAGCACCTATTCGAACTCCGGCAGAGTACACGCAAAACAAAAGAAAATAATCTATCGAAATTTCAATTAGGCCCTTGCGGTCGTTGGATCCTGCCTGGACTTTGCTATGGCCTTTCGGCCCGTATCACGTTTCGGCGTGATTTTCCGCCGAGGACAAGACGGGTGAAATCCACCACGTCACAATATACATACAACGAGCCTGATCATCGATCTGCACCAGTCCGGAAGAAGCAACAGAAAGCAGTTGGGTGTGCATAAGCATTTTAAGGTGGCAAGAATCCCAAAAATAAGTAAGTTCGGCTTCCACGTACTTCCTCCTCGGAAATCAGACGTGTCGGACGTAACATTCGAAGAGGCTGAAGGATTATTATATGCGTCTGGAATCGCTGATTGATTGGTAAGTCACTAAAACTAATAGTTTTATCGTACCGAAACTTTAAACGCGATTATCTCGAAACTACATTTTCAAAAACTACTCATGTTGTAACTCAAAAAGTTATTGGTCGATTTGGCTAAATTTTTGGGAGGTGATTCTCTATAATATTATTGGAAGGACAAACCTAAAATTTTAAAGATATCGCGTAAATAAAATATTTTTTTGGGGTAAAAACTGTCGAAAAAATGGTCGAAAATTCGAACATTTTTTTCAACAGCCTACCAAATTTTTAATTCTGTACTTTTTCATTGTTTTTTAGGTTAGTCCTCCCCCCTTATATGTCAGTAATCGAAAAATAATTGTTTTTTTTTGGTTTCAAATCACTACAAAGAACGTGACAACTGTAACACTTTTCGGTGTCACGTAAAACACGCCTGACCAAATAACACGCAGAGCCGCTATTTTCTTTCATAACAAAACAAAAAATATTTTTGTATGCTTTAAAGGTGGAATAAAATAATACCACAATTTCAAAATGTTGCGATTATTTTATCACCTGCAAATAAATTCATGAAAAATGCTTCATTTTCGGCTGTCTAAATAGTATTGTTGTGCTGTAACGTCTCGGTGACGAAGGAGTTCGTTCGAGAGGTTAGGGCCAAGGTATTTTTGGGATCGTTGCCGGTTAAGGAATTGGAACTCGCGTGAATACAACAAAACAGAGAAGGTTTATTGAAACAATAAAGAGTGTTGTA